CAGGGGGCCAGTTCACTGTCCCTCAGACCGTTGGAGGGCCGGACTATAGTTTAAAAAAAAAACTATGAACAAATTCCTATGCACACTGCACATAACTTATTTTGGAAGTAACAAAACAAAACGGGAACAAATATAATATTTGTATTTGCATGTGGCCCGAGGGCCGTAGTTTGAGGACCCCTGTGAGGACCCCTGCCCTATTCCATATATACTAATGGGATTGGATTTCCCAAACACATTTTAGTTTGCCTAACTTTGCTCTTTCTCCCACCTGGAATATCATTTTCCTCATCTCCACATGTCCAGATTCTAAACATACTTCAAGGCCAAGGTAATAAAGCCTTTCCAACCCACTGGCTTAGCTGTTGTCAGCTATAAAGGACCACTCTGTCCTGAACTCCCCTAGCATTTAATCATTCTTATTTTAGGGCACTTAGCATGTTCAAACCTTGCATTGCAGTTGTTTTGCATATGACTTAACCCTTTTTCAGTTATCCTGAGCCCTGCGAGCCAAGAAGGTACCCCTTCCAGCTTTCAGACCTGAACTTAGCTTGCATATTTGGTGCCAGCTTGATAGATTGTTTAGACTGCTGTGATGGTTCCTTCCATTGCTGATATGCACCTCTGTGCATTGTTACTTTGCCACCCTTCCCGTCAAGGAGAGGATTTATATCTCCACCCTTTGAATCTGGGGGCCAATGTGACATTAGTAGATGTGATACCAACAGAGGCTTGAAAAGCATTCACTCACTAGCGCTTGTCCCCTTTGGGCTGCCATTGGAGTCCAGGACCACAAAGAGAAGTCCAGGCTGGCCTGCTGGACACACGTTGCTGTAACACGTAGCCTGTCCAATAGCCAGCCCCAGCTGCCAGACGTGTGAGTGAGTCCATCATAGGCCATCCAGCCCTAGTCTCTCTGCCAGATATCTGCAGTCAAGAGAGTGATTCCAGGTGACTCCAGCAGAAGAACTGCCCAACTGAGCCCCAGCTCAGACAGCTGACCTACAGAATAATGAGCAAATAAAATGGTTTGATGTTTTAAGCCACTTTTTTAAAGGGGGTTTGTTATGCAGTAACTGAAACAGTAGATGCTGTTAATAAAATATTAAATAATAGCTAGCATTCATTGAGCACTTACTATACTCCAAGAACTAGACTTGGAAAATTACACAGATTAATCCCCATCAAAATCCTGATATAGGTTTTATACCGCCCCCATTTTACAGGTGATGAAAATGAGGCCCAGAGAAGTTAACGAAGTTGCCCAAGGTCACATTGTTAGGTTCAAACCCCAGATTCTGGCTCCAGAAATCATTATACCACATTGTAGAATGAGAAAAACATACATGCCAAATTCTATAGCGTTTTGGGGTCTAATGCCCGTCTATGCTTCTAACCCTCCCACACTACGTCCTCTTGAGTCTGTCCCAGGCCCTGGGCCCCGACTGCTTGTTTCAGGGAAAGCCAAGCGGGGGTGAACTGATTTACAGACCTTCCGTCTGTCTGTCCCAAGTTCTCCTTCCTACAACCTTTGCTGGGTTCCAGCGGTGCAGGTTTCATGTGGAGAGGAATTGCTTGGGCTCAGCGTGTCAGTGTTGACCCTTGGCCCCATGTCCTGGCTTAACCTGTGCAGCCAGGGTGATTTTTCACTCAGGATCTTTGGACTTTCTTCGACCTTTTTTTTTTTTAAGCATAAACACATTTATTTACTAACCGAAGGGTCAATCCTAATTAAACCAACACTCAGAAGTAGTTGTATATAAAATGAGTGTGATACAGAGAACTGAACACAGTAATGGGGGAGGGGGAGAGGCATGCTTGAATTGAGCTTGTTTATCCTCATGGCTAATTCCTGTCCGGAAGGATGATGGAAATTTTACTCCGCTTTTTCACAGGTCCAAGTACAGCTGACATTGTTCACGACACATTCCACCACTAACTTCCGCCTTCCAATCTTCTGGTTCTGGCGCTTTCCTTCCCGTCCCATTCCTGATGTTGGACCAATGCACTGTTTACAAAGTTGCAGGTGGCCTGAGTTATTGTGCCATCAGCTGTAGTTTCTTCAAACTTGTCTCTCAGGTTGCATGAGCACTGTGTCACCTTCAACGTGCTCTCAGTTTTTACCGTGAGGTATTGGCCATCAGAAGTGATGACGGTCTGGCTTGGCCATGGCGCCCATTCCCACGCCTAGTTCCTTCATGTACTCGGTGAAGCCTTTGTTCTCCACGAAGAGCCATCTGCCTACCAGCTGCTGAATGGAGATCATGGTGGGCACCGGAGGCCTGTGGGCCACATGATGGGGAGGTGTAGGCAGTGAACTTGAGTTTGGTGTGTGAACCTCCATTGTAGAGTTTTGTTTAAAGTACTAAGGGAGTGCTTGCTTCGGCAGCACATATACTGAAGTACTAAGGGAGCAGGGAGAACAAAGCAATGAGCAGAGAAAGGTGGGGGTGGGTGGCCTTTGAGTTGGGTTTTAGAGGATGAATAAGGCATCACCAGAGGAAGAGGAAGGAAGGGGAAAGAGGAAGGAACCAGAGGAAATAAGGAAGAAGGCGGATGGGCAGAGGGATGGGGACAGCCTGTTTGGGGACGGGCACAGGGTCATGACAGTCTGGAGTGCAGGGCATCAGGATGGCAGGATGTGCAAACCCAGTGTGAACAACCTAATGTGCCCCAGCGAGCGGGGAGCTCGGAAAATTTACAATTCTAGTTGGCCAAGGAAAAACTATAGTGGGTGGGAGGGGAATGAAGGTGGGAATTTGCTTATAATGAGTCTGCTCTGGAAGTTAGAGGTGAAGTCCATGGAGAGGTTGGTGTGGGTTGTATCAGGAGAGTCTGGCTGTCTCTAGGATACCGCACGATGGTTTCTTGGTGCATTAACCACAGTCCAAGGGAGGGGCCTAAATCAGAAACCAGATTCATCAAGCTCCCCAAGGGAGAGTGTCTTTCAAGGAAGATCTAAATTTTCCAAAGTAACAATAAAGGCTAATCCTCATTTTATAGTAATTGTCAAGCAAAACCAATTATTATCAGAATAATAATGAACCACTAGTTCATTTACACAAGAGATATAACTGATTTGCCCATTTCTTCCCATGACCCAGGTGCGGTGGGAAGCTGACCGGTTGAGCTGTGAATCAGAATCAGCAGTTGGTCACGAGATAGGTTTGATAGGGCCCAGTGCCTCCATCTGCATGGCTAGTGTCCTCCGGGGCTGGTCTGTACTGGCCTTGGGCCAGGTCTTCTGCTCCAGACATGGTCAGATTGGCACTGCCAGGGCAGGCTCTATAACGCTCCTTTTCTGTGCCTTCTGACAGACACGTTCTTTATGTGCCTTACACTCTCTGGTCAGGCTCCTCTGGCCAGTTTGGAACTAAACTGCTGTCCCAGGCTTTTCTCAACCTCAGCTAGATGTTAGAATCACATGGGGAAATTTTATGCTGCTTACTGCATACATTTATGCTCTGCCTCACCCCCAGAGATTGATTTTATTGGCCTGCGGTGCAGCCTGGGTATGTGGAGTTTTACAAGCTCCCCCGTGATTTCAGGTACAGTCCAGGTTAAGAGCTTTTGCTTTAAGGCAGTGGTGCATACTTTTGCTCTGGGCCATTGAGTGTTGATTTTGCTCATAGAAGGTCACTTACCACGGACCAGGTGCCAAGTGCTTCTCAAGCATTACGTTGTTAATTCTTTAACCAGGCCTGCTAGTCAGTGAAGAAGAGCAGTAGCACAGGGGAAGGCAGTCGGGTATAATTCCACAAAGACCTGGGTTCAATCCCGGCCCCACCATGTACCAGCCAGGTGACTTGGGGCAAGTTACCTAATTCCTGTGAATCTCAGTTTCCTCATCCGTGAAACGGGAAAAATAGTATCTGTTTCTCAAGGTGGTTGTGAGGAATAAATGAGGCAACAGATGAAAATCAGCCAGTCCAGCAAGAGTCTCCGCCATACTGTCTCCCTTTCAATGGGAGAGACTGAGACATCACGTTCCTTGAGGGTACTCAAGAAAAGGGGAGCCCCCCTCATATTCTTGCCCACAGACATAGGTCAAGGAGATGAGAAACATGCAGTGGGAAGGTGTCTGAGACCCAAGCCCCACTGAGAATGCTATGATCTATTTCCCTTCGCAGGATCCAGATGTGGTGAGGAGGAATGCTACAGAAGATGCAGACACCCACCTGAGCCTGAGTGGAGAAAACATAGTCAACCATCAGCCACAGGCCAAGTGTTGGAATGGGGACATGAGGCCAGCACCACTAAGAGGCCAAGACAGGGAGCACACACTGATACCGTATGTGTGTGATACCGTGTGTGTTCGAGGCCCCTTCAGTGGGATCTGTAGGTCTAAGGGTCCCCGAAGGGCCTGCATTCCCAGGTTCTCTCTCACTTGCCAGGCTCCTCCTAGAACTTTGCTGTTCGGACCCTTTGGATTTCTCTGGGCTGCATTCCTTAAGGTCTGATTGCTTCTTTCTTGTGGCTGGAAGGATGTTCCCAGTAGAGCCCTCCAATAGGGTTCTCTGTGCACACACTCCCTTGGGGTGGCTCAGGCTGTGCTCTCTGGCCCCATGGGGAGCCCCATGGCACACTCCTGGGTCAGCAGGTGAGCCACATCACAGAGTCCCCCACACAGCCCAGGGCCACACGTCCCCGCTCCCCATTCCTGCACCTGGAGAAACAGGTGGGACAGCCAAGAGAAGCATCATTGGCTGCTCCACAGCGTTTGTTTTGGGGGCAAGATGAAAACATTTGCATCCATCATGGTCCCAATTTCTTTAAATAAGAAAACACAAGAAAGTCAAAACGATATTTATTTGGGCTGAGAAGTAAAGAGAAACTAAATCACTGATCTGAAAAGCAAAATGGAAAGAACCAACAATAGCAAACTAGCTCTGCCTTAGCCCTTTCCCAGCTGAGCTCTTGTCACCATATCGTGCTATTATTCTTGAATCAAGAATGTATCTTCCACAGTGTTTAGTCTTTGTATGAAGGTCCCTTTGACCCTTTCCCAGCTGAGCTCTTGTCAACATATCCTATTATTCTTGAATCAAGAATGTAGCTTCCACAGTGTTTAGTCTTTGTATGAAGGTCCCTTTGCCAGAACTCAGTTCCTTTCCAGCTCACTTTTTTTTTGTTGAGGATTAACAAAAAGAAAAAGAAAGAAAGAAAGCTGTCCATACACCAATGTCTCCCACAAGAAGACAACCAGGGATTGTCTTTCTCTCCCACAAGATAGCCCCTTGCTGTCCTAGGCTTCCCCAGCCCAGGGACAGAGGAGGACACCAGAATTGAGGGATGGGGGAGAATTTCAGGACCTGAAGCAGCAGGGACATCCACCCAGGACCTTAGAGGGAAGGCCAGGGAGTAGAAGCTGAAGTAGCAAGAGGAAGAGGAGGGAGAAAGAGCAGAGAAGAAACGTGCTAGGATGACAGGGAACGAAACAGAGAAGCACCTTCCCAACAGCTGGGACACAGGCCAGGAAGGGACCCTACCCGGAGGTCTTAGAGGCCTCACTTTCATTTTCAAGACCCAGGGCAGAGGAGGAGCTGAGCAGGCCCAACAAAGCATCCGAATGTACTTAATGCCATTGGCCTGTATATTTACTAGTAAAGATGGTCCGATGGTAAATCTTACGTTGTTATGTTTTACCACAATAAAAAAGAGAAAAAGAGGAAAAAAAAGGTACAATCACTTTGGCAAGCAGTCTGGCAGCCTCCTCAAAAGGTTAAACATATGACCCAGCAATTCCACTCCCAGCTTTGTACCAGGAGAAGTGAAAACATATGCCCACATGAAAACTTGTACACAAATGTTCACAGCAGCATTATCCATAATAACCAAAACGTGGAAACAATCCACATGTCCTTGAACTGATGAATGAACAAACAAAAATGTGGTAACATTCATACAATGGAATACAATTCTGCCCTCAAGAATGAAGTCTTGTTTCATGCTACAAAGTGGATGCGCCTCAAAAACATTCTGCTGAAAGAAGCCAATCACAGAAGACCACATGTTGTATAGATCTGTTTACATGTAATGGCCAGAATATAGGCAAGTCTGTAGTGACAGAAAGCTTGGTGGTTGCGTAGAGCTGGGAAGGGTTGAAGGGAAATAGGAAGTGACTGCTATCAGGTATGGGGTTTCTTTCTGCGGTGATGAAAATGTTCTGGAATTAGTAGTGATGGTTGCACAACTTTATGAATATACTAAAACCCACTAAATTGGACACATTAAAAGGATAAATCTTATGGTATGTGAATGATATCTAATTGTAAAAAAAAAAATTTAAAAAACTGTTAGAAACAAAAAGTCTCCTGGGAAAAAGCTAGGCCATCACTCCAGCTCCAGCTGGCCATTCCTCTCCTCTCTGGGACAGAAACCCAGCAGGTCTAGGGTCAACAAAGTTGAGTCCCTGCTGTGGCAGGCATCACAGGCTCAGGATGCTTCCAATAGGAGGGTGATGCAAAGAAGGGTGATGGGAGAGAGGATCTTGGGGGCAGGGGAGGAGAGGATCTTAGTGGGAGATCAGGCTTCCTGGCCCAGTGCCCACTGCTCCCCCTCTCCACACACCCTGGCCCTGGGGCCCTGGACACATTCCCCATCCCAGGGACCACCTAGATATGAGAGAAGCCCCCATGAGAGAAGGCAGGGAGGTCAGGGGCACAGTCAGCAGCCTTGGGGAGGCAAGCCAGGGGGTTGACCTCACAGGCCCCAGCATCCTGGTCCCCCCGGAAATAGATGGAGTCCGCAGAATCAGAGGAGGGGTCCTGGTCAAAGAAGTTGTAGGGTCGGAGGAAGAAGCCCACACCATTCCCCACAGTCACCGTGTTGGGAATGTCCTCTGCATGTGGGATGTGCAGGAAACCAGCTGTCACCCAGGCCACCAAGTCCTAGCAGGGGAGAAGGAAGAGGATCACGAGGCCTGGCTTTGCTAAAGACACACCTGCCTCCCACAGTAGCCTGGTATGTAAGGATTCAGTTCACCAGCCCAGGATCACTGTGAAAACGTGAAGCTTCGTTTCTTAGTGGGTTCTAAAGTCCGCGGAGGGCCCTGGCATGGGAGAGTGAAGTGGCTCATCCTTGCTCCCGCCACCTCCCCGAAACTAACCTGCCCTGCAACAGTTTCATTGTTGATGAAGTCAGTGAAGTCCACGGTGGGTGTCCAAGGGTCGTTCAAATTGTAGATGCTGGTGCTGCTGGGCTCCTCCTCCTTCCGCTGGGTCACGGCCAGCTGGTACCTACAGGAGGTTTGGATTAGACCCACAAGGCCATCAAACTGTCCTACTGTTTGAAGCTGCACTGAAGAGGGAACGGAAAGGAAAAATAAGCCACAAGGGTCTCTGTTCACTTCCCATTCTCCCTCTCTGCCTGTCCCTCATAGAGTTCCCACGTTCGTTCAGTAACGTGTATCTCAAACATCAACTGGCCATTGTTCAGGCTTCAGGTCCTACTGTCGTTCATGCATCCATCTAGATCCTAGATCAGAGCCTGGGCCCTGGATGCATGGACATGGCCTGATTCCCATTTTAGGTCAGTTTCTATATTTCAAATGCCTGGGTTTTAGGGAATACCCCTGCGATCTGTGTTCCTCTTACTCTGGTTTTCCCTCCAACACTTATTGCTAACATTTAAAGTTAAAGAACAGTGTAGTGAACACACATACTAGTAGACCCACAACCCAGATTCTATCTATAACATTTTATTGTATTTGATTCCACATGTGTCGCTCCATTCTTCCATCCAGTCAGTAGGCCTCATTTTATTTATTTTCACTATTACTTTTTTTGGTTAATCCTCACCCGGGGATATTTTTTCCATTATTTTTAAAAATTATTTATTTATTTATTTTAGAGAGAGAGTAGAAGGGAGGAAGGGAAGGAGAGAGAAACATCCATGTGAGAGAGAGACATACGGATTGTTTGCCTCCCACATGTGTCCCTACCAGGGTTGGGGGATCAAACCTGCAACCCAGGTACACACCCTTGATCTGGAATCAAACCCGAGACCCTTCAGTGTGTGGGGCCTACACTCTAACCACTGAGCTACCGGCCAGGGCACTAGGCCTCATTTTACATGGATCAAGATTGTGGCCACAGGCTTGTGTGTGTGTGTGTGTGTGTATGAGTGTGCATGTACACCCACAGGAGGTGGGGGAACCTGGATACCAAGCAACATGGAGCCCTTCTTACAGTCCATCTCCCCCAGCTTCCCTCTGACACCCTGACACTCACCTCCCTCAGCTGAAGGCTCTCTCCATGGAGCTGTTCTGGGGCAGCGGCTCTCCAGCAAAACTGAGCACCTGGATGCGGTAGCCCCGAGGGTGACCCCACTTGTTGCTGTGGTTGCTGGCCAGGTACAGGTAGCGAGGGGTGGCACTTCCCAGGGGGAAGGTGGCCTGCTCCTCTGTCTCTAGCAGCTTCCGGGTCACCTGCAGCCTCTGCATCTGGTGCTCAGGGCTCCAGGGTACAGCCATGGGGACGAAGACCATGTCCTCAGCCCAGACCCAGTTCTTCAGTCCTGCCGAGGTGAAGGGAAGGAGGAGGGAGAAAGGATGGGAGAAAGGAATGATCACCCACCTGGCTTCAGATTGGGGGCCAAAGAGAAGCCCAGAACTGAGTATGTCCTCTACTTCTCTTCCTTTTCTCCCCAAGATATTCCTGATTCAGAGATTTCGAGAAGATCTCTCTCGCCGATGTCACATCTGGTAACAATCCCAGATGCCTTGTGACTGGGCCTCCCCTGACCTTCCTCTGAGGAGGAATGGTGGTTTACCTGAGGTTGAAACAGCCTAGCAGGCAATGTGCAGAGTCAGATCTTTCTGACTTGAGGAAGGGATTGTGCCTCATATCTGAAGCCCCCCAGCATCTCCAGAACTACCGTACCATGTAAATATTAACAGTTGTAGCTCACATTTACTGAACCTGAAGGTGCTATGCATAGGCATCATGCTGAGTGCTTTACATGTACTGGTGATCTACCTGTATAACAGCCTTCTGAAGGAGGAACTACAATTGTCCCCATTTTACAGCTGGGACAACTGAGGCTCAGAGAGCTTAAATAACGTGCCCTGGCTTTTCACCAAAGGGACACTGTTAGTATTGTGGCAATGCTTGAGACTCAAGTCTTCATTTGACTCTAATGCCTACACATCAGCACATGAAGGAAACCAACAACGCCTCACCACACGGCAGCAGACATGTGGGCCCGAAGTTGCTGGAGCTTGGAGGTGTTTCCCATAGTTTGAGGTTTGGCAAGGAATTAAGAGTAGGGCCAAAGGCAGTCAGTTCCCTGAATTTTGGAGTTTTGAATGATCTGTTAGAATGTAACTAGGTTCCATATTAGGAATCAGCTTAAATGATCTGAGACTGATCCGCTAAGGGTGGAAATCTTTTAGGAATCTTACGTTTGGCACATTTACTTCATATACTCTTACATTTTTAATGTTTCAATGACAATTTTTAAAGTGAGGCATGGAGACTTCAGCCCCCTCTTCTGGAATGCCCCCCCACCCCCGGGGATATCTTACCTCCTACATCCAGATCTACCTTGAAGTGGGCACTGTGGGTGTGGGCAGTGCCCAGCGTGTGCTCCCCAACCTGGTTCCCATAACTTCGGGCAGCACCAAAGAGGAACGTTGAGCTATTGTAGCCCGTGGCATGCAATTTGACTTCTATGGCCCCGTTGGGGTGGAAGACCATATCCCACACATAGTCATAGTTGAGCATGGTAGACACAGACCTGATGACCAGAACTGTCTCTGCAAGGCCCCCAAAATAGTGGGAGTGGATATCTGAGTGGTGTCGCCTCAGGGGTAGGCCTTGGTTCTGTTCAAACACACAAAAGGCATCTGTATTGTCTTGGGGGCTTGGGACTCCAAAAGGAAGTGCCAGTCCACGTAGGTGGCCAGGTAGGGGCAGTCGACCCCACGGGTCAGAGGTGAAGAGAAGCGGCCCAAGCCAAAGCCACCATCTGTGTACCGGCTTCGCAGAGCAGACGGTGAATTGCCACCATAGACCGTCAAGGCCTCCTGGACGCTGACTTCATAGGCCAATCTCTCCCCTTGGAAGCGGATGTCAAAGATCCTCGGGCCACTGAATGCTCCAAGACCAAAAGAGAAAGTCCACAATGAGGAGGCCACTTGACTCCCCTGGACACTGAAGCGGGGGCCCTCGGGATGAAACTGCAGAGGGGGAGCCGAACCCGGGGGCACCTGGGACTTCAGGGACCAGGACCCACCTGTGCCATTGTCTGGGATCCGCACCACATTCACCAGGCCGGCCTCAAACTGGTTCTCCAGCTGAGCCAGACTCTTATAGTAGCGGCCTTGAAAGAACACCTTCTGGATGGTCCAGAGGGCAGGGTCCAGAGCCTTGTGGTCTACCAGCAGCTCCAACCCCACGGGGTGCAGGAAAAACCCAGCCCCTGAGATGTTGTAGTAGAGGCCAAACCAGGTGGCCCGGTCTCCTGATTGCAAACCCCGGGGAGCCGTGTTCATCGTGACTAGGTTCCTTCCTTGGTGCTTGTAGAAGCAGCAGTGGTGGAGGAGACCAGCAGCCTGGGGCAGCTCTCTGTCAAAGATCATCTGGTCTATGTCCAGGTACTCTCGGATGAGCACGGGGCGTCGGTGATAGGGCAGGGGACCCCCATGACGCTCCACAGTCACATCCCGCATGTAGGAGGGGTGTGGCAGTGGTCCCACCACCAGCTCACTCACGTTGGGCTGGGGTTGTCCGCCAAAGAAGACGATGGCCAGTGCCTCACGAGCAGGCGGGGGGCTCCCCCTGTCCAGGTGTGCCAGGGCTGCAGCCTTGGGGGGCAGCTGCAGCTCCACGGAGAAGATGCAGTTGTCTGATGGGAGGGCCTGGGCTGCATCCACCAGGCCTGGCCCCAGCTGCTGGGTCAGAAAGCTCATCACAGCCGTCAGCTCCTCTTGACTCAGGTCTGCAAACAGCTGGCTCTGGCCAGGCTGTGTCCAGTGCTGGGCACTGGGAGATATGGAGGGGCAGCGGGGAAGCTGTCCAGGCTTACATCTCCTCTCAAATCCTTCCTCACTCGCAGCTCCACCTTCACCCATGCCTATCACCAAAACACTACAAAGGGGCAAAATAAGGAAGAAAGCCATAGCTAAACCTCCTGGCTGTCTTCAGGCTCTTGAATTGGAGTGAATAATGGGAAATAGAAAGATAAACAAGACCTGGATACAGGATCAGCACCTCTTTTAGTCTCTGGAGGTTCCTGGTCTCTGGCTGGTGCTGCTGGACAAGACAAGACCTGGTACAGGATCAGCACCTCTTTTAGTCTGGAGGTTCCTGGTCTCTGGCTGGTGCTGCTGGACAAGAGGCCTGATGGGTACATTGAAGAGAATCAGCCAAGGGCAGAGGGTTGGGTGGGGGTGGAGCTGAAGCTGGAGGGAGCCAGGGGTCAGGCCGGGCTTGGGAGGTGGGGCTGTGGTAGGAACCTGGACTTTCAGTGGCCCACATAAGCCTCTGTCCTCTGTTCCAAATCAAATACTCAGGGTCAGGGTTGGGGAACAAAGTGGGGGAGGGGTTGGTTTGGGAGATAACACAGCTGGAGGGAGGAAAGAGGAAGTGACAGGGGCAGAAAGGGACTGTTCTTGGGCTCTTCCTCCTTCCTCTGAATGGAACCTTTCTCCAGGCTACAAGGCTATAAGCGAAACATCTGCCCACACCTCTCCAGCCAGGTTCCTTCATTCCTGCCATTAGTTCATGGTGCCCTCTAGATTCTTCCTCCTGTCACTCTCTCGTGCCCCCCTCCCCCCACAACAACCAGAACCCCACCGCAGCCCCAGGGATGCTTGAGAATAATGTTGCGAACACAAAGCACCTGGGAGGGGTTGAAGGTGGAGGCTGCGTGAGACAGGTCAACACTGTGGAGGCTCTGTGAGCGCCCTAAGTGCCTGGAGCATACAGGATGCGGAGCCAGTGAGAAGTTGGAGGGGGTACAGGGGCTGCAGAGTGTAACAGAGACACCCCCTCCCTTCCACACACATGTTGAGCAGGACTGATGGGCCAGGTTAGAGGTCAGGGGGCCTGGAAAACTGGCTGTGGAATTAACTAGCAGCCCACAACCCTCAACTCCGGGAAACCTCCTCCAAAATGTTGCAGACTCAGAGAGAAAAGCCACCTCCATTCTCTGCCAGGTGAGGTGCCGTAGGCCGGCGTGATCTGGGCAGCCAGATCCCGAGGGGAACTAGAAGAGACGGAAGGTTCAAGAGAAGGAACATGCTTCCCTCCTGAGCCTGGGGAAGAATCCTTTCCAAGCTGGACACGTCCGGGAAGACGTTTTCCAGGAATGATGCTAGACTGAGCTTGCAGGCAGGATGCATTCTCCTGGCAGAGAATGGGAAAGACATTCCAGCCAAAGGGAACAGAAGGTGCAAAGGTACAGAAACCTGAGACAGCCTCAGCATGGGCAGGGAATGGCCAAAAGGTCAGCGTGTTTGGTGTGAAGTGGGGACGGGAAGGAGGGCAGGGACCTTGTGTGGTTCATGTTTTAAGTGTTAGTGATCTGAGGAAGACAGGAAACATCTCAGAACCCAGACATTTCAACTAGGGCAACCAGCCTTACAAAGGTCAGATTATCCAGAAATATTTATACAACCAGTTCGATTTAGATATGGAAACTTGACAGGTTTCCCTCTCCTTTGTTCTTTATTTCTTAAAAATAATATATTTTTATTGATTCCAGAGAGGAAGGGAGAGAGAGATGGAAAGATCAACGATGAGAGAAAATCCTTGAGCGGCTGCCTCCTACATGCCCTACACTGGGGATCGAGTCCGCAACCCGGGCATGTGCCCTCACTGGGAATCGAACCATGACCTTTTAGTGTATGGGATGATGCTCCAACCAACTGAGCCACACCGGCCAGTATTTATTTTTAATTTTTAAAATGTTTTAATAACATTTTGTTGAACAAACAGGAGAAAATGGGGCTTTTGCTCTAGGACAGCGGTTCTCAACCTGTGGGTCGCGACCCCTTTGGCGGTCGAACGACCCTTTCACAGAGGTCGCTTAAGACCATCCTGCATATCAGATATTTACATGACGATTCATAACAGTAGCAACATTACAGTTATGAAGTAGCAACGAAAATAATTTTATGGTTGGGTCACAACATGAGGAACTGTATTTAAAGGGCCAGAAGGTTGAGAACCACTGTCGTAGGAGAAAATAGGTGTGGGTCAGCCCCTCCTCCCATCCTTGTCTTGGCAAGTCTGGCCTCAGGGCAGTGGAAAGGTAGCAAAGTAGCGGTGGCCACTGTTAGCTGAAGACTAACCAACCATTCCCCAAAGTCCCAGATGAGTCTTTCCTAACCCTAATCCCAATAGCTATCATTGAATTTCCTGCCAACCAGGTGAGTGAGGGCACAGAGCTGGTTATCTGTTATAGAAAAATAGAGAAACATGGCATTTCATACCCACCCCTGAGTGTTGGGGAGAAAAACTCACACCCAATATTCCCATTGACTGAGCAGTAGGATGGAACTGGAGAGCTTCTTGTAGTCAAGACAAACAATAGAGCTGCTATAACTAAGGCAGGAAGAGGTCATTGGAAATTGGCTGTACGACCTTGAGAATTAGGGGGAGCAGAATCTAATGTTAAGGCCTACCTACTCCTGGCCACCAGGCAACTGTGAGTCTGGGTCTTTCATAAGTCATGGTCTCAGCTCCCAGCTAAGATCACACTGTTAAGATTGCTAATGTTTTTTGTCCTGAACAGTGTTACCAAACAGAGGTCAAAATATTCACTCTGGTGGGGTATCACCAAGCTATTATATGGGAAGGTGGGTAATGATGGGGGCCAGGAACCCTTTGCCTTGGCTGGTGGGGGAATTGGTGTATAAAAAAGCATCACCCTGCCCCAGCCGGTTTGGCTCCGTGGATAGAGCAGCGGCCTGCGGACTGAAGGGTCCCGGGTTCGATACCGATCAAGGGCACATGCCTGCATTGTGGGCTCAATCCCCAGTAAGGGGCATGCAGGAGTACATTGTGGGCTCAATCCCCAGTAAGGGGCAATGCAGGAGGCAGCCAATCAATGATTCTCTCTCATCATTGATGTTTCTATCTCTCTCTCCCTCTCCCTTCCTCTCTGAAATCAATAAAAATATTTTTTTTTTTAAAAAAAGCGTCACCCTGACCACCTTCCCTAAGTGTCTAGCTGTTGCATTGTTTCCTCTGATATTGTTTCATCCTAGTTTTCCCAATCATCATGTTAAATACCCTAAAAACTTGTTGAAAAGGTGTCCCTCTTGCCCTAACCGGTTTGGTTCAGTGGATAGAGCGTCGGCCTGCAGACTGAAAGGTCCCAGGTTCAATTCCAGTCAAGGGCATGTACCTTGGTTGCGGACACATCCCCAGTAGGAGGTGTGTAGGAGGCAGCTGATCGATGTTTCTCTCTCATTGATGTTTCTAACTCTCTATCCCTCTCCCTTCCTCTCTGTAAAAAATCAATAAAATATATTTTTTTAAAAAAGAAAAGAAAAGGTGTCCCTCTTGCAGAATTACTCAGGAGACAGGACTATACATCCTGCTCCCTCCACTAGGTCTTCTCTTTGAGTAAACTTGGCCCCAGCCTCTGGGAATGTGATGAATATGAGTTTATCCCTGGGAGCCAGAGTCCACCTCTAGCCCTCAGGTTGAGGACTGGGCCCAGAACACAGTGCCCAAGTGGAGCTGCTGCCCCAGAGGCCCTATGTGGTCAATTCAACTGCCTAGTACACCCAGGTTACACTCTGTACTGATCTGCATTCTAGGGAGATGACTCTGGCTTGGGTATGGGACAGACTAGAGGTGAGGAGACCAGGTAAGAGGCAATGGGCCAGGATGAGGCCAGTGACCTGGAGGTCAGAGAGGAAGGGATGACTCTGAGAGATGTTTAAGGGCAGAGTTTACAGGACTTGGTGCCTGATTGGGTGTGGCTGGCAGGGAGGGCACAGCATCTTACATGACACAAAGATTTCCCATTGGGTGACTGGTGAGTGGTGGGGCCTTTCACCAGAAGAAGAACAAAGAGCAGCAAGTTCCAGAGGGAAACTAACAAGTTTGTGTTTGAGGTACTCATGGGGAAGCTCCAGTATAGATGCTAAGAAAAGGAAAAGTTTATGGATCCAGAGTACAAGAGAGAGGTTCTAGGCCTGAAATATAGATTTGGGTGAAACAACAAATACTAGCAGTTATAGTAGTAGAGGCTGAGGTCACCGAGGGGGGACCTCTGCAGAGAGAAGAGAGGAGGATCAAGGAACATGCTATTCCCTGGAACGTTGTTTGTGCTCTTCTTTCTCCCCTGGCCAATTTCTACTCCTCTGCCAAGATCAGCTTAGACATCAGACCCCGCAGGAAACCTGCTGTTGTCCTGCTCCCACCTCTCGTCTAATAGTCCTCATCTGTAATTGCCTCTTTACTTGCTCTTGGGGGCAGAAACTGTATCTTTTATTCAATAATACATCCTAGTGCCTCACATGATGCCTGGCACTTAGAAGGCACTCTATACATCTTTGTTGAATGCACAGAAGAATCCTTCTGTTGCACTGGGAACTGGAGCCCTTCTCAGGGGATTCAGGAGGACAGCAGGGGCAGGTGAGCGCATCTTGTGCTCTTCACAGGGGGTTCCAGTGTCTGCATTCCCGGGGATGTCCAAGTTATGCCTTCTGAGCTAAGCCCCAGGGGTCTCCTTGTCCAGCTCCTCTTAGGGCCCAAGTCCTAAAGTTCTCAGCCTTGGGGACACTATTCTTTCAGTGCTTGACACCCTCGGTCACTGTTCATTTGACCACAGGTCTGAGGCCAACACTCTAGCAGGCCCCAGTGATCTAAGGAAGAGATTAGGTTGGGGCCCCAGGGCATTGCATGGGAACAAAGGCCATGTCCTCAGCCCAGACCCAGTTCTCAGGTCCTGCCAGGATAGGGGGAGTGTCAGGGGGGAGGGAAGGGGGACTGACCCCAGCTAGGCTGGCACTCTCACGATCTACATGTCCATTGAGGCCTGGAGCAGGTGGTGTCATCCCTATGGTGAGCGAGACCCAACCACAGTCACATTTTCAGATAAAAACTTGTGAGCATTTATTTACACACACTCACACACACTCTCATCGCATACAAACACTCGCACTCTGTGGTCTAGAGACCATTGGGAAACTGACCATAAGAAGGAGTGATAGAAGGTAGAAACTCCTCCCCATCTACTATTCCACTGACTCAGAGGCGAACTTGAGCTTGGGGAAGGACAGAAGGTAGCAGAAGCTGATGCCTGAGCTCCCTGGATAGATCTCCCTCTGGTCATAAGCTGAGCAGCATCCAAAATCCATTTCCTACACTTCACCTCCTGGCCTGGCCTGAGCTTCCAGCAGGCAGAAGTTACCCTTCCCCACTGCTTCTCATCGCTCCTCTGCTAAGAGTGATAGGGAGCAGAAGTGAGAGAAAGAACAAAAGAGATTTACTGAGGTTTAGCCTTTTCTTCAGAGAGATACAAGCAAAAGAAGGCAAAGGAGTTACCATAAGTTTTTGGTCTCAAAAACTTAAGAAAATTGAGTCCATGGCCCCATCCCTTAACTCATTTTACCCTCCCCTACCCCAGGCCTGTTCTAAAAGACATATCAGTTTTTTAAAAAGTTATTTATTTATTAGGTCCATTTATTATTTAATTTTAACAGGTAATATAGTCACATGGTCAAAATTCAAAATGTACAAAAGGGTATACAGTGCTAAGTCCCCTCCCTCCCCTGTCCCCAACCTCCTGGTTCCCTTTCCAGAGGCAACCAGTGTTACCCATTTCTTCTGAATCTGCATTGGTAAGCAAATCTACATTTATATTTTTCTCCCTTCTATAAACCACAAATGGGAAGTGCACACACTTCGGCACCTTGCCTTTTCATTGGGAGATTATTCCCTATTAGTATACAAAGAAATGTAGTTATATTTATAGCTCAGAGAGAGAT